AGGTTTTTGGCTGAAATTTTTTTTTTCAGATCCGGAAATTTATCTTAAAATTTCGGTTTTCTTTGGATGGTGGCTAAAAAGGTGGATGCTTTAGAGGAGAGAATTGAAGGAGAGATAAATCAAATCAAGGAGACCGTGGAGGAACGAATGTCTTCCATGGAGGGGCAAGTGGCCGATCTACGGGATATGATGAAGAAGATGTTGGAGTTTCAAACTCAATCGGCGGCATCTGATGCAAAAGGGCCAGCGGCGAAGAACACCAACTCTTAAATCCATCGGGAGGAAGAGGAGGTGGAGATCGTGGTAGGGAGTAGGGGAAGGCCTCATTTGGAGCCTTTCCAGAGGGAGGAGAGAGGAGGAAGAAATGGGGAAAGGCAAGGCTACGGAGGCGTGGAACCAAGAGGTGCTGGTTGGGAGCATCGGGAGGGGTATCACGGGCGCCGGGAAGCAGTTTTCGAAGATCAGAGAGGGGAGTTTGAAGGGGGATCGAAAGGTGAGAAAATTGAAAATGCCCATTTTTGAAGGGGAGGATGCCTATGGGTGGATCTACAAGGTGGAGAGGTACTTTGCTGTTAACGGCTTGACAGAGGAGGAGAAGTTGTCGGCAGCAGGCTTATGTCTGGAAGGGAAGGCACTCTCTTGGTACCAGTGGACAGATCAGAGGAGACCTATCCGGAGCTGGGGAGAATTCAAGGACAGTTTGTTAGAGCGTTTCCAAACCGACCGGGGAGGAGACTTCTACGAGCAGTTCTTTGCCCTAGTACAGGAGGGGTCTGTGGCGGACTACCGAGAGAGGTTTGAGCATCTGGCCAGCAGGGTAGAGCGCTTGTCCGAGACGGTGCTGGAGGGAAATTTTATGAAGGGGTTAAAGGCCGAGGTGCGAGCAGCGGTGAAGGTCCTGATGCCCAGGGACCTAGGGGAGGCCATGAAGCTTGCACAGTTGGTCGAAAATCAAAAGAACCTGGAGAAGGGAGCTAGGAGTAGTAGTAGCTCAGGAGGCACTTACAGGTGGATGACTACCCACCTAGCCCCCAAGGGAGCGTCCCCAGGAGGGATGAAAGAAACGAAGGAAAAA